AAAATGGAAATATCAGTAAAAAGATAGATAACCTAAAAAGAAGCCGAAAAGAAATGCTAGAGCAGAGTTATACAATAACTGAAATTAAAAATTCACCAAAGGGATTTCAAAGGCAAATTGAGCTGGCAGAAGAAATATAATAATAACTATAAAATAAGACAATCAAAATTATTGAGTCTGAGGAACAGAAAGAAAAATGATAAACGAAACATGAACTGAGCCTAGAGACCTAAGGAAGACATTGTGTTGTGGGAATCCCAGAGGAGAAGAGAGAGCAAAAGAGGCAGATTATTTGAAGAAATCATTGCCTAAAACTTCCCAAATTTGATGAAAGACATGAATATAAACATCTGAGAAGCTCAACGAACTTCAAGTAGATGAACTCGAAGAACTCCACATGTAGACACATTATAATCAAACTGTTGAAAGACAAAGAGAGAATCTTGAAAGCAGCCAAAAAAACTGACTTGTTACATACAATGGATATTCAATAAGATTACAGATTTCTCTTTAAAAACTTTAAAAGTCAGAAGGCAGTAGGCCAAGTGTTGGCAAGCATGTGAAGAAACTGGAACCCTTGTGTACTGGTAGTGGGAATGTAAAATGGTAGTGGGAATGTAAAATGGTACAATCACCTTAGAAAACAGTAAAGTTTCTCAAAAAATAGCTGAAATGGAAGCAACCCAAGTGTCCACTGACAGATGAATAGATAAGCAAAATGTGATATACATATACATAATGGACTATTACTCAGCCTTAAAAAGGAAGGAAATTCTGACATATGTTATAACATGGTTGAATCTTTAGGACGTTATGCTAAGTGGAATAAGCCAGTCACGAAAAGACAAATACAGTATGATTCCACTTATATGAGGTTCCTAGAGTAGTCAGATTCAGAGAGACAGAAAGTAGAATGGTGGTTGCCAGAGACTTGGTGGAGAGGGAAATGGGGAGTTCCTAATCGAAGGGCATAAAGTTTCAGTCAAGCGAGATGAATAAGCTCTGGAGCTCTGCTGTTTAACACTGGACCTATAGTCAAGAATAAAGTACTGCATACTTAAAATTTTGTAAGACAGTAGGTCTCATGTTAAATGTTCTTATAGTAGAATTGAAAAAAGGAAAATGGAAAGGAATACAGATACTTAAATACAATGCTATCTATTTGAAGGTATGTATGATAATCAAATGGGGATGTATGGTTTAATGGATATAGAGTTTCAGTTTTTCAAGAAAAAGAGTTCCGGAGATAGTAGTGATGGTTTCACAAGAATATGAATCTACTTAATTCCACTGAACTTTACACTTAAAAATGGTTAAGATGGTAAATTCTATGTTATGTGTATTTTACTACCATAATAAAAAAAGAACTCAAGGAGAAAAAAACAGAATAAAGATGGGCTGCTTAAAAAAGTCTTGTACTCCACTGAGATGACCTACTCAGGACTAATTACCCACCCACTTGCCTGGGAATCTCAAACGACTGCCCACTGTTTCCACCCCCAGCAAGCTCTAGCATTCTTAAAAAAGCACTTGAATATAATTAAAGTGCTTTCTTGGAAATGTCAAAACTGATTAAAGAACAATATCATCAGATTTCACTCTTAGTTTAAAAGTCTTATCTGCAATAGGAAGCAAATCAATTTGGAAACTGCCAACAATCAAGACAGAAGTTGTGTCTGACCTCCATTCTTCCCACACCCTAAAAAGCCTGGGCCCTTTTTGCAAACATTATAATTTGCATTATTTACTCCTAAACATCACTGTAGCCAAGTGGGCTGTCCTGCCATGGAAGGTTTGTGACACTCTTCCCAGGCTGGCTGCAATGATGGGCCTCCCAAATGACTTGGCTCCTTGATCATGCTGCCACTGGGCCCATGGGTCTAATTAGGCTAAGAAACACCTTTAATTAACATAGCCTATTTGAGTCAACTTATGACTCAGGACTGCGGTTGCTGGTGTAAACCAAATTTACTCTCCATCATGCTGCATCATTATGATGCTCATCAGATGTTCTTCAAATCTAGCTTTTTAAAGTTAAAATATGCCCATATAATTCTTCAAAAGATCAGATCAATGATATTGATGATAGTTGGTGTGGAAAGATACATTGTAATGTTTCACTGACAGGCTTTGTATGGGGCATTCCCTTAAACACATCACAGATATATTTGTTCATTATTTTATTTTATTCAGCCTAAATTTTTAAAGTTAGGTCATTCACAGTCTTTTTCAGTATTTAAAAGATCCCGCTAAAGTCATTTTATAGGATTTACCAAAAACATTATATTATATATATATATGTACTATATATAATAGACATTTTATATATGTATACGTGCATATGTATCATGTATGTGTATATGTTATAAATTGGCTCCATGGACCACTATGAGATTTATTGGTGAGCTTTTGTGTGCATATGTGTGTATTTTTTTTGTGGAAAAATGGAAAAATGGTCCTTAGCTTTCATTTAATTCTCAAAATGGTTTGTGATCACCCCCTCACAACCACCAAACAAAAACAGTTAGGAACCCATGTCTAGAGCTGTGTTGTCTAATATCGTAGCCATTAGTGACTCGTGCCTATTGAGCACTTGAAATGGGGCAAGTGTGAATTAGATTTTGTAAAATATGAAAAAGAAGATATAAAATAAGTGATTTGTACATTAATTACATGTTGAAATAATGTTCTGAGATATAGTGGTTTAAGTAAAACATATTAACATTAATTTTATCTGTTTAGTTTTGCTTTCGTTAATGTGGTTATTAGAAAATTTAAAATTATATATATGGCTCACTAAATTTCTATGGGACAGCACTGGTTTGAGAAAGGTCAGATTTTGGTCACAAGCATGTTGCTGATTCTAGGAGATTCCTACTAGCAAAAAAATTCCTCTAATACTTAGTTCTAGAACTGTATTCTAAGAGAGGTTTTAGCAAAAATGTCAAACTATGACTAAACATAACAGAGTTAAAGGCATAGATTTAAACTACTTTTATCCAAATATTCCAGCATTAATTTCCTTTAGAGAATCATGAATTTGGAAGGGAAAGTCTGATATCAACTGAACTACTGCCATCCATATCTGCAGATAATTCACGTGGTACATTTTGATAAGAACCTCAGAATAATAAGACTCAAAGCAAGCTTTTCCTTTTATCACATAAGGTGCTACATTTTTAAATATCAGAAAACATAATGGGAAACATTCATCAAGAAATATCTCAAGAGAAACTAGAATTCCCAGTCATTAAAGGTATATGTGTATGGTACTTTGATTCATTAATATAATTGTCCCTTATGTGGTACCTATTATCACCCCCATTTTATAGATGTAAAAACAGGTTCAAAAAAGTTCATTCACTGCCCTCTGACAACAAAAACTCTGTCTTGTTCTCTACCATGTACTTGAAGGCTAATACTTTGCTGGCACATAGTAGGTGCTCAGTAAATGGTAAATGGCTGATAGGTGACAGTTTATTAATTCCGACAAGTTTTCTCACTTAAAGAATGATTACAACATCTTTGCTTTTTTCCAATACCACATGAGAGAGTAGTGTACTTAACTAATTTTTTAAATTTTTCACCACGAATTTATGTGATATATTTTTACTATCTCTCAACAAAACTTTCGTGTTTTCTTTTTTGGAAAGCAATCTAATCTTAAATCATGCTTCCTGGTTCCTCAACATTGCAAGTGCCAGCTTGACTGGAGATGACACCTAATAGGTTGGCCTGGCATCTAAAGCAGTAAATAAATAGAATATCTTTGTCCTTCATCCAAAGTAGTAAAGTACAAAGCAGCGTCGCCCCCCGCCCCTCCCCGCTCAGAGTCTTGATCTCAGTTGCTTCTGCTCCTTGGAGTTTGGAGTTTTCTCCTTGCCCACATCCCGGCTGCCTCTCCTCCTATGTGTTGGAGAATGCACGTCCGAAAACATTCCTCTGAAAGTTTTAAGCTTTACTCGGGTTAAAAACAAACTCTAGATCTAAGCTCTTACGAGCTGAATTTGAGTTCATGCAGGAATCCCCATTGTAGGGAGGAATTCCTCTAACAACAATTCCTGGTCCATTTGACTTGTGAGCGCGAGCTGAGCCTGGTGCATCGGCTCATCCCGACTCACACGCCCGGGCGCGCTCGCACGTACCACTGCAGGGCTGAGTCTCGGCCTCTGCTGGAGCCTAACCTGAAGGTCTGAGAGGACGTCGTGCCCAGTCCCTACCTCTTCCCTACTAGACCGCGGACAACTTCTTGTCCGCACGCCCAGAAAGGCCAAGCGAACACACATTCCCTTCCCGGTCCTGCCCAGGCACGATCGCTTTTATTTACCGTCTTGTACCACCAGCTTGCGAACGCCATAGCGAAAACCGGATTACTCTCAACCACGCCACGCAGGACCGGGAGAGGATGCGGGGTGCGGTGCGGTAGGAGCGGGGTTTGCACTCCCTTGGACTTGGCTGGCACTGAGCTCTGCAAGTCCTGCAGCTTCAGGTGGGCGGGCACTGGGGCGGGGGCCCGACACAGGCCCCGCCCCCTATGGGCTGTTCCCGCCCCCCGATTTGGCTCGGGGATGGTTAGGGAAGATGTGTTATTTCTCCAGGCAGCCACGCCCTGCAGCCCCGACTTTACGCGGAAGACAGGATCCCGCCGTCCAGTTAAACCACCCCACCCACTCTGGGGGGTGGAGGGGAGGGTTCCCGAATGAACTTTAGTTCCCTTTGATCTCCATACCATTTCATTCACGTCTCACCGACAAACTTTTCCCGAAGCGAGCCACCCCCTATCCGGCTCGCGCCACGCCCAGCGCACTCAGTCCAAGTCAGGGAATCCTCGGCCACCTCCAGCACCTGTCAAACGGCGGCCCTGAGCCCTGCACCCTTCCCAGGCCTGGGAGCGGGTGTACGCGACAGCAGGCCAGGCAGGCTGCAGCCAGAGAAGGCGCCCCACGGCCACGGGCTGGGTCGTCCCAGCGCGCAGCCCCTCAGACGGGAGCGCCACTCACCTCCTGGGTGTGGCGGGCCGCTGCGGCGCGGCGGGGTCGCGGGGAGGCGGCGGGCTTCTGGCCTGGCTGGGACATGGCGAGGCCGCGACGAGCGCTGCCTCCGGGAGGGCGCAGCGGAGACTGCAAGGGAGGCCCGGGCGGGGAGCGTGGGGAGGGACAGAGGGAGGGAGCGTAGGGGCCAGCGGGCGCCCGTGAGGCAGCTTTTCTGACCCAGCCCCTAACCCGTCAGGGGGCTGCCCCTTACCCCGCTGGGCCCTCCCCTTCCTGCCCGCTGCTGGCTGTAGCGGTCCGGGCCTGAAACTTAACACCCTGGTCCCGCTGTCTTTACTCACCGACCTTCCCCGCCCCCTCCGCCCCAGAAATGCTCGCTTCCCTGTAAGTCCGAGAGAGAAGGGGCTGGAGGCCCCAGGGTTCCTCCTCCGACTTGTCCAGACTGATCTTGCAGCTGTGCAACGGGAGAGCGGGACCTGGGCGTGGCCCGTCTACGCCTTGACCCTTCTACCTAAGAATCTCGAGTACATACCTTTTCTGCAGTCTGCCCTGATTTACTTAGAATTTACTAACTCACATTCGGCCCGAGCTTGGACCCTCTGCAAAAGAAAGCAGATCACAAAATCAAATTGGTTTGTGTGTACGTTTGTGTATGTGTGTGCGCGCGCCTGTGTATGTTTTGTTATTTTACTTTTTTTTTTTTTGGTGGGGGCAATTTTGAAAGTTTAATAATGTTTTATGGGAATAAAACCATAGGTCCCAATCTAAATCGAAAAATATCCCCCAATTTAAACCCTTATAACTTGTCTGTAGCCTGCCGGGTTTTCTTTCCGAGGATGGGTTGCTTTTACCATTGGCTCATCTTAAACAGCACTTCCTGGTTTGAGGGTGGAAGTGAATGTAACAAGCCTGACTAGAAAACGTTCATCTGCAGAGACTGTCAGCCTGCGGTTGCTGCCGGTTTGTGATCAGACCTGACTGTAAAAACCTGTTAGCCTGTAACGGCATTGACACTTTGGGCCTTGGGGTCACCATTCTCTACAGTGCTGTTTTTTAGGCAGTTGGAGAGAGTGGCCAGATTATAGGAAAAGATTTGTGCTATATGGAGCTTGACAGAATAGAATTGTTACTTTTTCTTATTTTTAGGGATTCTGACTTCCCTTTACTCAAGGGACTGGCTGCCTCATTCTTAATAGGGGGAGCAGGGAAGGATGATTTAAATGCATTTCCTCTTAAAAGGTTCTAGTTCTTCTCTAGGGATGCAGTATTTCCAACAAACAGGCTTCACTGCAGGAATTTACACAAAAAATGAAAGAACTTGAATATGGGCTCTACAATTGTCCTTTCAAGAAAAATTGGTGGCATCAATCACGTGCAAAATTGAGGAAAATATGTCATAAGTCTGAAAAAAATGCTTTTATGATTGTGACCAAAAAATGCTTTTATGATTATGACCAAACAACTACAGTAAGTTAAGCAAACACTTAAACTATACGGGTGAGGTGTAGGCAGCCCTACTTGGGCCCAGGAATGGGAATCAGTTCTTACTTGGGAGCTTAGAGGGCCTAGACTCAGGTTTTAGATCCCTGATTTCGTTATTCTAACTCTGGAAGAAGAATGGGTTCCATTAAAGTTTGAGATATTTTCTAATGGAATATTTAAAATGGAATTTAAATCTGTTAGTTTTATATTTCTTGAAAGTCTTCCATGTATACTACTGTGAAAGGAATTGTAGAGAGAGCAATATAAAGATTAAAATACACATATCGTGCCCTCCAAGGACTTACAGTTTAGCTGAAGTCATATGGCATTTGTATAATATGATCATTGGGGTGTAATTGAGATTTATACAGTGTGTAAATAAGTACAAATGTGCTTCGGGGGTTTGGGGTTCTGTTGGTTTTGGTGATTATAAGAAGAAAAAGAAAGCTTGAGTGGGCTGGCTGGAAGCGGGGTTGTGGACAGAAGAAAGAGTGGGGCAGTTCAGGAAATACTAAGGTGCCCACAACACCTAGCTGTATCTGCTAGTCCAAGTTCAGGAGTTATCCATCCATTTATCAACTTATTTATTAAGCAGCCACACTGTGCTCATGATATAGTTGATTGGCTTTGCTTAAGTCAGAATTCATATAAGCAGAACAATTGCATGCTAAACAGTACCTTGATGACTATGAGTAAAGAAAAATTTCAAAGAAGCTAAAGATGACGGCGATGTTCTCACTTTTTCTTATAATCAGTGAAGAATTTGAAACTTTGATACTATGACCGGCATTTGGGAAAGCTCATTTTAAATATTTATGGCAACTTTTGCTACAGTTTTATTTGCACATTTGTAAGAATTTTATTCCTTTATTTACTCAGTAATAAGATGCCTGCTATGTGTCAGGCTCTGTGGAGGTAGTAAGGCCCTCCTATACTCAAGTCCAGTAGGAAAGACAGACAAATAAGTCCATAAGCACATGATAGTGGGATAAGGGTAGTGGCCTGTAAGGGATTCCAAGTGCACTATAGGATCCTGAGGAGGAGCTTTTCATTCTGCCTGAGGGGTGGGGAAGTCAGGGGCTACTTCTTCCCCACCTGTTTGATTTGAGTAAATTAAAACCCCCTCCAACTAATCTCCACATTTTCTCTTTTCCTCTTCATTCTGGTAATAGTGGAGAAACTCATCACTTCTCAACAGGAAACAAAATGAGAAAAAGGATGGAGTCCAGCGAAGAAGGCAGTGGAGCCAGAGAAGGAGCTGCAATGGGACAGAAGGAAGCTCTTAAAGAATTGAGTGCCAAAGGCCAAGGGAGAGGCCTTATAAAAGAAAGGGCTCGTCCACAATATAAAATGTCACTCAAAGGTTGGGTCAGATAATGTATGAAGAGTGTCCATTTGATCTGACCGCAGAGAGGTTTTTGGTAACTCAGCCAGTGGGTAAAATTTAGGAGGCAGGGCGTTTTTCTGAGGTACCCACAGTATGGACAATCCCCTTCACTTTGGATGGTATTTCTTTCTACACCACCACATATACCTGGAAGGTGAGTTACCCCCAAAAAACCTAGACCTTCTGGCCGACATCCAAGTGTCCTCCAATGCCATTAAAACTTACCTGTCCTATCTGCCATCATGAGACTCTCAGCTGAGTTTGCTCTACTCCATAGAGGTGGCTTCCTGAGTAAACTAGATAAAAGGAAAAAAGAATCCCTGTAAATAGGCAACGACTAATTAGAAACCATGCAAAGGCTCTCATAGCCTCCTTTCTCTTGTAACTTTCATGTAGCTGAATGGGAGCTTCATGCTCTTAGACTATTGAATTATCCAGAAGAATGGCTCTAGTGGTGAAATTCTGTGCATAAAGGAGAAGAAAGTATGCTAGCCAGTTGGAGAATATGTTTAGACAATAGGAGTCTTGCCATGTGCCATGATCTGAATGTGTCCACCCAAATTCATATGTTAAAATACTAATGCCCATTGAGATAGTATTAGTAGGTGGGGCTTTTGGAAGGTGATTAGGTCATAAGGGCGGAGCTCACATGAATAAGATTAATGTCCTTATAAAAGAGGTCCGAAAGAGCTCCTTTGCCCCTTCCGCCGTGTGAGGAAACAAGACGCCTGTGACTCAGAAGAGGGCCTTCAGTCAAACATGCTTTCACCCTGATCCTGGATTTAAAGTCTCTGGAACTGTGAGAAATACATTTTTTGTCATTTCTAAGCTCCCTAGTCCATAGTATTTCATTATAGCATTCTGCATGGACTAAGACACTGTGCTTCTCAGATCACACCGAGTTTTTGTATAGATGGAAGATGGGTTGCGGGAAAGGACAAAGAATGGAGATGGGAGGATGGAGGGACAGAGGCAGAGAGAAGAAAGGATAAACAGCAGAGGAACTAGTTTTAAATGTTCACTGCTACCAAACAAGAACTTGAGTCATACACACACCTATAGCCAGTCCCTCAGATTTTATGTCTCATCTTACATCCCTCTAAATAATAAAACACCTGCAAAATACCTTCAGGCCTTGTTCTTCAGTGTGACAGAATGTCCTGCTTCTTGTCTATGTGAACCAAAGAAGACTGAAATCACATCTCCTTTTCAGGGCTTTATTACAGAGTGTTCTTGGGATCAACACTTGAGGAAGGGAAGGAAGGAATGGGCAAAGGGAGAAGTTGGGCTGGGATGCAGACCCAGGGGAAGCCTCAAATAACCCTGCAAGGAATGATGAAGATGGTATGCTCTTTAGAGATGTCCAGGGTTGGCAAGAGAGGGCTGAACCTTTCTAAGCCTGCATCAACAAGTCCATGGATGTGGTTAAGGGGGAAGGGAGTATGGCTTTAGGGGAGAGAGGTGGCTTCCTTAAGCTGTGGCAGTGCCCAAAACCCAAAGGGAGCTAAGAGATGATGGCTCTCTGTCCGTGGCACTTCCAGGAACTGAGATAAGGGCTTTTTCATTCTTGAAGAGGATTCAGTTAGCTTTATCACATCCATTACACTCCTTAATGCTATATAACATCATAAAATTTTAGAAATAGAATGAAGAAGGGAAAAAATATTGCAAAACATGCTGTCAAATTGCTATTTAACAGAACATTAGGTTTGAAAATATTACCCATTTAATTAAATTTCTCCCCCTTTATAATGACTGTTGCCTTCAAGAGGGATCAGTGAAGAACAATTTGTTTCACAGAGCAGCCAAGCTGTTAATATGACTATCTAGATACAGAAAAAATACAATTTTACAACTGTGATTGCTAAGAATGGTTAGAAATAAAGGAAATATAAAATTTTTATTTTCTAATGGTATTAAAACCAAAAAGATTGCTCAATAGGTCTGGCAGCAGATAGGGAGGTAGGTATAAGACACTCCCTGCATGCAAGGAAGCTCTAAAAGTCTTCGGCTGTCTCTGCTTCCCATGCTAATTTCCCTGAGGTTTGCAACTTTCTCTCCCTGGGGGTATGGGATTATGAAAAGAGCTCAATTCTCAGAGTTAGTACAATCTGCGGGCCAACAATTAACCAGCACTGTGAGAATCAACCCTCTTCAATGTTTACAGCCCTTGATGGCTCCTAGGTGCCAACAGGATGAAATTTAGACCTCTTAACACGGTCTCCTAGGACCTACAAGCACTGACCTGGGAGGCCCCATCGACAGTCTCATGCCTTCATGCTGCCATGCCCTCCTGCTTTCAGATCCTGGAATATACCTGGCTCTTCCAAGTTCATGCCTTTGCTTGTTTCCCCTTCCTTGGAATATTCCTCCTTTGCCATTCTCAAAG